ATAATAACCAGCATAATGTTTCGGCGAATACGTCGAAAATGGCCGGACTACTTTTTGAACCAAACGTTAGGCGTGAGAAAAAGTAGTAGTGCCCGGCCCACTTAATGCCATGCAGGTGCCATAGTGTAGGGTGGATAGGCAATAATTTGAAGGCATTTGTAATGTCAGTCTTGCTGAGCCATGCTCCGACCCCTGCCTGCATGATAGCTGTAATGGCGTGATCTATGGTGGAGTATTGAAGTGAAAATTCCTCAGAGGGGATAAGGGAGTTCAGACTAGGTGAGGCAGAGGTGTGAGGTGCAGACAGATCGATGATAAGTCTTTGTTTGTGGGAAGATTTCCCTGTGACAATACCGATGGGGTTTGTCCGCCATGTGGAAAAAGGAGGGGACTGAAAGGGTCCCAATAGGAAGCCCTCTGCCACTTCTTTGGCTATGAGTGTGCTAACCGCTGTAGGGTTTTGTTGTGCAGATTGTAAATTAGGACATTCAAGGATTCCTGAAGGCATGTGTATGAGACCAGTATGGAATCCTTGTGATAGACCAGTGATGATGAAGTCTACCAAATGTCTAGATGGATGTCGTGACAGTAATGCCGTGAGTACAGAAATATTTATCTCAGTTAAGTATTGCTTAGGGTACATTTTATTTGGACACATGGTTTTCGCATGTGCCCTAAAACATTTTGAACATATATGCAATAACCGACAACCGCTGTAATTACATGCACCGACATTGAAATTATTACATATTTGGGACTTCCCCAAAAACTTGATAGGTCGACCCAGTTTGTCTTTGGGTGTTCTCTCTGCTGACACAGCGGAGCTAGTGCCCTGCGAGGTGGTAGGTTCGTTCGCAGTGGTCGGACAAAAATTGGCAGTATGAGCCATGGAGGAGCAGTGTGCACAGGCCGGTGCTCTTAGACCTGCAAAGTGCCTGCAAAATATGATCGTATCAATCTTACTCCAGTTGGACCTTGTCCCGTACTGTGAGAAGGCGCCAGACACTTTGGCAGAAGAGGATCTATGGTAGTCATAGAAAGCTGACCCACCATATTTGTTGCCCAGATCAACCAGCCTGTGCATATATAAGTCAAACTCCTCACGTCTGTGGGGATATACCGTACAGACCACATCCCGATAAATGCCAAAAGCTAATACAAATTCTGGAATGGTTAGCTTCCTATTTAATCGTGCATCCCTGGATTTGACCACCACAGAAATATCGTCATAAGCGTAGGTCTTATGTTCCACTATATCCTGGGAGGCAATTAGTAGTGAGGCCAGATTGACATCTTTACCTTCCAGGATATCTCTCCTGAGGTGCTCAGGAATCATGTGGGCAGGGTAAACTTCTTGGTCATCCGAGGTGATAGCTGGAGAAACTGATTGCGACTCCACCACTGATGGGGGAATTGCCGTGGCCGGTCCAGCCATAGTGAGGGCTGTAGTGACCGATTCAAGTTTCTCCAGCCTAGAACTGACCTTGCTCATGGATGTCATGAGGGACGTGAGCATGTCATGTATGTTTCCTGGGTGAGACTGGCTCGACCCTTCCCCAGCGTCCATGTTATCGGTTGAGGTGTGTAATAATTTGTAAAGTTCCGCTTTCCTTGCTGTTGCTGGAAAAGGGATTTGTCGTCTCCTGAGTTCGCTAGTGATACGAGGGATAGTCCATGATCTGAAAGATGCTGGACTAGCCGTATCTTCCTCCTGTGATGGGGTGTTTGTTCTAGCCGGAGTCCTTGGGATGGAGAAATCCTCTACCCCTTCTTGAGACATACTAGATTACAAAGTATATGGTTAGCGTAAAAACCCCCGAGGGGATGTACTGGCAGGCTAATTATGCCGGATGAGGCGAAAAATTAAACTTGTTCTTTGGTGACAGGTGAGGCCCTGCTAGTTGCCAAGTGGCTATGAGAGGCTCTATCTATGCGTTGGCGCGAGGGGTTATTGAGGCCACCCGACGTAGTGGCAGGAATTCGTAGGCCTCTCGGTGACAATACAAGAAAACAGGGGAAGGGAGTGACAGGTGGCACCCTCTCTATAATGCGAGGCGGCTAACTCACGTGTGGCCCGGGGGGCATTACCTCCGAAACGTTGAGGCGGGGTGTTGGCCTCGCGGACCACTAAACGATAGGCAGAATGCCCGGAGGGGGGATACCTATTTGGGCCTATAACCCCTAAAATTGCCAGTACTCTATGTCCTAAGTAGAGGAGGAGCCATATGTGATGTATGGCGTGAGCAGGCTTAACGTACCTGGTAGTATGTATGCGTTTGATAAGCGATAGGTAGAGAAAACTGGAAAAAACCTAAAGGGATAGAAAACCAAATATGATAGTGTGAGAATTGGATCCTATGATACCAATTTAGACTAGTTAGTTGTGATGAGTTCTAGTAGTACATATGGAAGGGGAATACATGAATGATATTGGCCCGACTGGCCCTGTATGTGGTATGGTAATCATGCTTGGGGGTGTGTATGATATGTCTCTTATGGTGACAAGATTAATGTGTATGATATAGTAATGCTAGTGTTTGTAGTATAATAAGGTGCAGGATTTAAAACAATACCGTATATGTTAGGCCGTAAACGTAAGCCATGAAAAGAGGTAAGTACGAGGTACAGGAATATTTGAGAAATTATCCCAAATTAGGAAACAACGTGACGTATGAGTGGTTGAATCAAGACGTGTGATTCAACCCGAAAGTTTGTGAGATTTTATGAGACCGTGTTCTTGTGTACTTGGTATGTCGTTTGAGTACACAAAGAAAAAGTCAGAATATATAAGTGCCATGTAAGAAACGTGAGTACATGGTATGATAGAAACGTAATTTCTAAACATAATTTATAACGTAAATCCTACAAGAGATATCTGTAAAAGCTTAACTCCATAAATATATGTATATAACATGAAGAATTTCAATAAAACTTTAATAATGCCATATCTGCTAAAAGATTGAACCATAACCTAAATAAATACTTATTTATAAGTAGTTAACAGGGGTATTGCCCCAGTCATATGCAAGGATTTCGTAATTTGCATAAAATAAATAACAGTAATAACATGAAACCAACTATAGCTGCTGATATGCAGAACAAGTTTGCTTAATACAAGAAAAACCGAAACCGATATGCCTGCCGGCAGCAAAGGGGTTAATATGCCTGTGACTTGGCCGTAAAGCGTGTGGCCGTAAAGTAAGGCCGTTTTAAATCGCGACGCCGTGGGAAATGATCCGGGCGACGGACTTACGATTTTGAAGTCCTGTGGACTTAATCTGCGACGAAAACACCGGGTATGTGCGTGGCTGAACGGGCGGAAAACCTGTAAGGATTCCTGGACACAGCTACACCAAACGAAAACCGCGGGTTTTTGAAAGGCAAGATGGCGCCGTACGTGAACCGGAAGTGGATTCTCGATGCAGCGCTGACCTCGAACGGTATGGAGCCAGGTAAGGGGTGTCCCTTAAGTAGGGAGAAGGTGAGTCATACGCCCCTCCCACAATTACAGGCCAAAAGGCCTTAATACATAACAAAATAATTAAATTGAACAAAAATAAAATAAAAATTAAATAATTCAATTTTAAAAGAAAATTATATATCGGTTTAAATATATTTAGAATGACGTTATAAATACATATATCCCCTTAACGATAATGAATTATTAATTATTTTATAATAAAAATAAACATATATAGGAAATAAAAGTGTGTGTGTGTAAATATTTATACACACACACGTATTATATACACACATATTATATGTGTTCATGTGTTTAAAAATTCTGTTAGTCCAATAAAAAAGGTATTACAAGATACACATTTTATCTATTTTTTACATCCACATATGTATATATATATTATAAATTAAAACATTTTTTTTTTTTTTTCTTTATTTTATTTGTGCATAGCTTGAACAATCATGCTTGTACCGCCACAATAGCAGGTGCAAGCAGGTTTGAAAACATACATTAACATAGGTATGGCATTGAAATACATAGCACAGGTTTTTTTTTTATATTCAAGATAGGAGACATGTTAAAGGTTAAACCATGGATAACACACACGCTTTTGCAGGCTAGTCTCGCTTAGCAGTTAGGTAACTTATATTGAATCTGCGCTTCGCTGCCTGATAGCAGGCTTGAGAGATGGAACAAAGGCAAAAACTTAAAGCATAGTTATACAATACTGTGACGTATGATTAAACTGTGCACATTTTTAAATTGTTAGAGTAATGATGAGTAAGTCTGGTTAGTAAATGCGAGTAACAATAGCAAGATGTGTGTTTACGAGAAATAAATTGACATGAATGTCATAGATTAGTAACCTGCTGAATTGCTAAACATTATGATAAGCAAAATGAACTTTCTTTCAAAAGACACGAGTAGAAGAGGTGCAATGAAACGTTATGCCTCGCTAGAAACATAGCTATCGTGATCATGCTTAATAAACAGTTGTAGGTTAGAAAGGTACGTACGCTAAACTAACTTATGTATCAGAATAGTGAGGCTATACATAGAAAAGCTTAGCTTATAGTCGCTATCGATATCCCCCCTGCGGTCCCCAGCATAAACTAAAGGGCTATTGAATTGCATGCATACAGGTATATATATATATATATATATATATATATACAAGAGTTCAACCTCGGGTGTTAAGAGGTGAGGAGTATTGGGCACTGTGCCTGACATTGAGTCCCAGTCTTGTATGGGTCAGCCGATGCCTTGTTGGGGCTGGGTGTGCTCCCCCTGCGCCGGTAGTTGCAGCGATGATGCGTGCCACATTCCCTGTGGTCCAGCAGTGTAGGAGAAGAGAGTCTCAGTGTGGGCAGAGGACCTAGTCGGCATGTATAATGTGGCTCTAGTTGTGGTTCCCACATGCCGGTGTATTCGTTGGCTGTAGCTGTGGCTGTAGATTTGTGCTGCTGTTGCCGCCATTTTAGGCCTCTTGGTCTGCCACTTGCATGTGTGGATGAGTTGGCCATTGCTCCTCTTAGGCTGGGTCATTGTCAGGGAGCAAGGCGGTGTTCTGCGCTGTGCTTTGGGGGTCCCCTTAAGATGCTTTGCCTGTGCCTGGTCGCGTTCACTCTTGGTGTGACTCTGTTCACCCGACATCGGGTTGGTCGTTTTCAGGCGCCTGTGGGGCCCAGCAAGGGAACTTACGGCGTGTGCCGGGACATTCTCTTGGGCCTCTCGTAGTGGGCCGTGTGGCGTAGCTTCGGGCTGGGTCCCCGGTTCCGGGGGCCACGCAAGCTGTTCCAGCCTCTCCCAGAAGGCGTCAAAAATGCAGGTGAGTCTGAGCTCCGTTTCTCTCTCGGCCTTGCAGAGGGTTGAGGCGTGCGTGTCGTTCGCCATTTTGTCAGCCACACCAGCGACCTCCAGTCCGCCCGATCTGTTCAACCGCTTATCACCTGCTGAGGTGACCGTGAGGGGGTGGACCGGGATAACCCCCACTGGTCCGGGGGGGGAGAACAAGGGCCCGGAGTCCTACATCTGGCTGGTTCAGGCAGCAGGGAAGCGGCCGTCCTCCCTGTGCCCGCCATGCTGGTAGGCCTCGCTGTGAGTTTGGGTACGCCTGTATAACATCGTCGCTTGAGTGGTGTCTGTGTGTGCGCCCCGGTATCACCCGTCACTTGGTGGCCATTAAACTGCAATTTAGTGCCTTTCAAGCGTCTAGAATCCATTGTTTTAGCCCCAAGCAGCGGGAGCTGGTGAGGCATGCTTCCTCTCTGCTCAGCGGTCAGGCCCTGCCCATTAAAACATTTTTAATATATATATATATATATATATACACACACATTCTACATATATATATTTAACTATTAACTACATAATTATTTGATTTTATTAATTATAATTTGAGGGACCTGTGTGACAACCCTGGCAGACAGTCCAGAGAATTTAATTGGCAAGCCCTATATTTAACCCCGTAACTTTCCAAAACATCATAAAACCTTTACATGGGGGTTTTGTTATACTCAGGAGATTTAGCTGAACACAAATATGAGTGTTTTAAAAAGTAAAACTTATCACAACGATGATCACCAGTAAAAGTGCAGTTTTTGTTTTTAAAAATTTAAAAAAAAACAAATAAAGACGCTAACTTTGGCCAGCGTTTGTGACTAGGTGGTTACTACAAAAGACTGGAAATAACCCATTTTGAATACCCTGGGTTGTCTACATTTGAAAATGAATTTGCCATGATGAGGTTAATTCACATTCCTGGGCTATCATATGGTTTCAAAAGGCAACATAGACTCAGCAAACCAATCTGGCAACTGAATTGGGCAAGCTCTATATTAACCCTGTAACTTTCCAAAACACCTTTAAAAACCTGTACATGGTGGGTATTGTTATACTCGGGAAACTTCGCTGAACATCAATATGAGTGTTTAAAACAGTAAAACTTTTCAAGACAATGAAATCACCTGTAAAAGTGCAGTTTTTGTGTAAAAAATGCAAAAAACAAATATGAATGCTAACTTTGGCAAGTGTTTGTGGCTAAGTGGCTACTACAAAAGATTGGACATACCATATTTTGAATACACTGGTTTGTCTACTTTTCAAATGGTATGTCATTAATTTTCATTTCTGGGCTGCCATACCGTCTCAAAGACAACATAGCCAATCTGGCAAATAGCAATTTACAAAAATAGAAATTAGCAAATCTTATGTTTGACCCTGTAACTTCCCAAATCACCATAAAACCTGTACTTGAGGGGTATTGTAGTACTCGTGAGATATTACTCTACACAAATATGAGTGTCTTAGAGCAGTACAATTCATTATACTGATAATATAATCAGTGAAATGGCAGTTTATGTGTGAAAAATGCAAAAAAAACTAATATAAATGCTAATTTTGGCCAGTGTTTGTGACTAAGTGGCTACTAAAAATGACTGGACATACCCCATTTTGAATACCGTGGGTTGTCTACGTTTACAAATGGTATGCCATGATTGTGTTAATTTTAATTCCTGGGCTGCCATACAGTCTCAAAGGCCCAGCAAACCAATTTGGCAAGCATATGTGCAAACATGGGAAAAGGGGAAAGCCCTACATTTGACCCCTGTAAGTTTGCAAAAACCCATAAAACCGGTACATTGGGAGTACTGTTGTGCTCAGGAGATGTTGCTGAACACATATCGGGGTCTTCTTTGTCAGTAACACATAACAGGAACTGAGAATCAATGCCTAAAGTACAATGTGAGAGAAAAAAAAAATGACTACCCAAAAGTTTGGTAAAGACTGGTGGTAGAATTAGTGCATTGAAAGTGTTAAAATACCACCATTTGAAATACCCTAGGGTGTCTACTTTTCAAAAATATATGGTTTGATGGGGGTAGATTACATTGGCCGGCTGTGAAAATTCCAAGTTGGAAAACTGGAATGTGCACCCTCCAAATAAGGTCTTTTAGCCCCCAGAGAACACCTATATATGGGTGGTGGAGATGCTGCTGAACACATATTGGGTGTTCTTTGGCAGTAACCCTTACAGTTCTCAGTACATGTATTCTTAAATTATGTGTGTGAAAAATATCATCAATCATTTTATATTTTTAAATTTGGCATAGGTTGGTGGTAAAATGGTTGCATGAAAAGAGTCAAAATACTCCAGGTTTAATACCTTAGGTTGTCTTCTTTTAAAAAATATATGCATGTGAAGGGTTATTCAGGGATTCCTGACAGATATCAGTGTTACAATGTAACTTGTGTTAATTTAAAAAAAACATTTTTTAATGGTTTGGAAATAGCAAAGTGCGACTTGAACTTATTACCCTATTACTTGCAAAAAAAAAAGCTAAGAACATGTTAACATTGAGTATTTCTAAACTCAGGACCCTGCTATT